GAGCATCGAGATGTTTTTACAAATAAATGTGAAGTGATAAGTTGATTTTAATGTATACGTTTTAATATATATGTTAATGATAAAATCATATGTATGGATAAATTTAATTTCAATTTAAGTATTGTGAACTATAATTGGAATATAACTTTTAATTTCGAATACAATTGGAATATTAAGTTGAAATTTAATGTTAAATTTCGAATACTATAATTTATATTTTAATTTTAAATTTCGAATAATATTATTTTTATTTTTATTTTAAATTTTGAATAATATAATTTGTATTTTTAAAACATTTATCAAACATTTAATGTTAAATGTGAATAAAAAATAACATTAAAAATATGTATCAACCATGAAACATTTAAATAACATAACCAAATTACATAAAATTCTGAAATATAACTATTTAAATAACATTAAAATACAACTGGATCACCGATGTCGTCTTCTCGAATGAGTTCCACATGGCGGTGGTTGTCTATTTCGCGGAGGATTTCTTCATGGAATTTGTTCTTCAGTCTCCTCATCTTCACTATCATCATCATCATCATTTTCTTCATTTGGTGTAGATGACGCTGAAGGGGCTGAAGGACCTGTATAAAATAACGACCCTGGAGGAGTGCTAGTAACAATCCCACCGCTCCCCGGGAATTGTGAAAACTGTAGAAACATTGACATCGATGTCTGTGATCCAGATGAAGATTGAGGTGTCTGTGGAGAAGCACCACCAACCAAATAAGATGCATATGAACCATATGCTGGATCATTAAACATAGTCGTATATGCACCTCCATATGGTATAAAACCCTGCGGGCTAGGAATGTAACCCTGCGGGCTCGGAATGTAACCTGGCGGGCTAGGAATGTAACCTTGCGGGCTCGGAATGTAACCCTGCGGAGATGGCATATGAACTGGTGGGCTTGGCATATGAAGTGGAGGGCTGGGCATGTACCCCTGCGGCATCAGCGGATAAGGATGTTGTGGTGGGACTGATGCGGAACCGGTAGCGCCTTCTCTCCGTCCACGCGTCGGGGGACGATGATATTGAGACGGTTGACGTCTTTCTCGGCGCCTAGGAATGCTAACCCCTCGTGCTTCCGCCGAAAGTAGAAACGACTTCCCATTTTCATTAAACCAGTTCATATAGTTATCCGTAACCATATGACCAGTTTCAGCGTAATATTGACGAGGGACCAACTGTGCATACCGGTTCTCCCAAAGCGCAATCCAATCTCTGTGTCTCACCACCAAGCTAACATCTTTTTTTCCTCGTCTATCGATGTTATGCACGTCGTCTAAATTCCTAGGTGCTCCAGGAATATATTGCGTACAAGCATACTAACGGAGCACGCGATCAACTGGATGCCACTCAATAATAGCATAACATATAAGAGGTGTAACCGACATCCAAACCTCTAATGACCCACTAAGGTGGGGTGGGATGCAAGCCTTCACTTCATCGCTCGCATAAGGTATCCACTGAAACTGAAATATAAATATACAATTCAAATAAATAAAATATTCTAATTATATCTAGAATTTTAAATTAAAATATTAATATTTAAACAGATTTAAAAACATACCTCAAACCCAGCTTTCGTATCAATAAGTAAACGAATTTCCTCTAACCCAGTAGGTATACTTTTATGGTCCTTTCTTTTCATCGACCACCTATGAAATATAATATAAACTAAATATCACCCTATTTAGTTAAAAATATTTAAATCAAAATTTACTTCGAAAATTACCTCAATAATAATGGGAATACGTATGGTTCATTCACGATCGGACATAAGAAAGACATGCGGAACCACGCCCATGATTGCAGAAGCATGAGACATCCACCGATAGCAGTTTTCTTATAATTTATCGCCCGACACATTTCTCTAAAGAGAAATGGCAAAACAGCAGCGCCCCAACTATATCTCCCAGCTTCATCAAAATCGATCAAATGCCGCAACCACATACAATGCACCTGGTTGCGTGATTTGTCGGGCATCAAAATTCCTCCAATTATTCGTAGAATATATGCCCGAGCACATGCCTTTACTTGATCCTCTGAAGCATTTTCATTTAAAACCTCAAAATTAGCTTTCAACCAAGATAAAGTTATTCTACCTCCATTAAACTCTGGCGGAGCAGCTCCAAGATACTCCATGCAAATTGACTGCCAATCACCATCCGCCACACCACACATTATATTTCCGTCGACAGGAAGTCCGAGATGCATAGAGACATCCTCTAATGTAATTGTAGCCTCTCCACATGGAAGGTGAAAAGTGTGTGTCTCGGGCCTCCACCTCTCAATCAGTGCAGAAATTAGGACAGGTTCGAGTTTGCAACCTCCAATAATTGTTGCAATATACCCGAACCCGACAGAAGCCAAATATGGCAAAATACGTTCCGGTGTCGGTATACGTGGATTTTTAATAAAAGTCTCTAAAATACGATCAATATCCTAAATAATATGCATTATAAAAAATTAAAATTAATATAAATTCATAATAACTTCAAATTAAAAATAAATTTAAATATTAACATTAATTATAAAAAATATTACCATATTGCTAAAATGTCTGGAGATATGGTCAGCATCAAATCGCAGTAGCATTTCGTTTTCCATTATAACTGTAGACAAAATAATATAATTAGCACAAAAAAATAATTAATAATTCTAAATAAATTATAATTATATAAATATTATTTTAATAAAAAATAATATTTATATAATTATATTAATATAAAATATAATAACTATTTAAAAAAATACTAACATAAAAATAAATTTCTTACCACTAATAAGAAATTTAAAACTCAAATAGTTGGAGAATTTGAGTTATAGAAGAGAGGAGAATATGATTTTGGTGTGAAGAATGAGGAAGGGTTGAGGGGTTTATATAGGAGAGGATGAGGAGTAGTTGGGGAAAACGGATAGGGGTATTTATGGTATTTAATGGAAGGTGCGTCCCCGGGGATGCGCCTTCCACACGTGGCAGCCGAGTCATCAGAATCCCGTGAAGGCGCGTCCCCGGGGATGCGCCTTTCGCCAGCTCAGCCGAAAGGATGCCACTTCGGAAAATATATATCAAACGGTGCTAAAAAGGTAAATATTAGGAAAAATCGTGTCAGTTTGGTCAAATAGCCGCGGTACAGGATAAGAGGGTTGGTGGAGCTGTGGAGTGAGGATAGGTGGAGGGATAAGGAAACCATTGTTTTTGTTTTTGTTTTTGGTAAAAGGAAAGGAAAAGACCCAAAGCAGTGGAAAAAAAGTGGCTTTTGGAATTTGGATTGTTTGTGGTCAGTGGTTATTGTATTGCTATGATCTATAAAATCTTTGTTTGTTTGGTGTTTGGTGAAAAAGTTGAAGATTGAAGGAGAGGGGAAAAGGGGTTGATGAGATTTGGTTGGTTTACTTTGTTAAATGAATTCTTTCTTGGTTGGTGGGGACTTGCTTTGCTTGTCGGATTGGGCCTTGGGGTTTGGGAATTTGGGTTGGATATAGTGAAGATGTCTAAATAAAAGAGCCTTCTTTCTTCTCTAAAAATTCTCCGTAGAGCTTGACCACTATAAAGATTTGTCTTTAACTTTGTCTCCAATTATTCTCTTGGTGCTTCTTTTTCTTTGTCAAGACAATTTTTATATCAGCAATCTCATTAACCTCTTAGACCATGGCTACTGCTGAATCAGCTACTGCAATTCAAAGAAACCAAGTGAGTATTGCAATCTTGAAAGTTTCTGCCTTTCTGGATACCCTTTGTTTGGTTTCTGAGAAAACTTGAGAAGTTTGGTGGGAAAGCAAGGAATCTTGACAACTGATTATCTTTTGGATGGTTTTCCTTTTAAAGATTCGTTTGTTACTATGTATCATGAAGCTTTTCATAACATGTGTTTTTTTTGGGTGTATTGTAAGAAAGATTCTTTGAAACCTTGAACTTGATTGGGAAACATTTTTTTATGGTTAGGTTGATCTCTTGGACTTCATTGATTGGTCTGGAGTCGAATGCCTTAACCAATGCTCTCAAGCAGGTAACTCTCTTCTAGCAATTCTTGTTTGGTATTGAATTATTTAGGGTTTACTTTATTGTCCAATGTATTTATCTTGTCAAACTTTGTGGGGCTATGAAATAATTTAGTTTGAAGGTCATGAATTAGGGTTATAGAGAAGATGAAGGCTTGAATCTAGAGAGTGATGCAGACGAACAACTTTTGATATATATCCCTTTCACTCAAGTCGTTAAACTACATTCCATTGTCGTTAAGGGATCCGAAGAGGAAGGTAATGTATCTTTTAACTTGTACATTTATGCATCTGAATATCTGATCATGGATTCGATCTCGTTGAAGCCAAGTTCTATGGCTTATGACGAACACCAGTCCGAAATTGCGCCCTACGAATTTTTCTTTAGAGGTTGTTGATTGTGGTATAGTATTTCACCATGAAGATTGTCTTTTGCAGGTCCTAAGACGGTGAAACTTTTTACAAACAGGGAGCATATGGGGTTTAGGTCATTTCAAGGAATGATCACATTCTCGGAATCGGTTTATTAAGTTTAAGAACATTTCATTGATGGTATTTCGTTGTACTTAATGCAGTAATATCAATGACTTCCCTCCAAGCGACACTGCTGTTTTATCGCCAGATAATCTGAAGGTAGCTCTTCTCTGGCTGTCTTTCCATTGTCAGGAGCTACAATGCAGTAAGGGTATTTTACAAATTCGTCGTGAATCGATAAATCTTATAACATTCTTTCTCTCTCTTTTTTGTGCAGGGCAAACCTGTAGTCGTGAAGTATGTCAAGTTTCAGAATGTTCGTAGGTATGTTTATAGTTTATGCACTAAGTACCGCGTTTAGTTTTATCTTCATCAAGTAAAATAATGTTAATTTTACTTTATCATGTTTATCAGCTTGACGATATTTATCGAGGACAACCAATCGGGTTCTGAAATCACTAAAGTTCAGAAGATCGCTTTATATGGATCAACGTAAGTTCTTAATAATTCTTAATCGCCGTTCTCTGCATTATTTGATGTCATTTTCATCTTTAATGTTGCTGGACTTCAATAAATTCTAGTTTACTGGTTCCTTCTCAGCATCAACATATTGTTCAAGCCATGAACTTGTGCTTTAGTCACATTGTGTTTCTTTTGTATTGTGTTGTCTCTGTCACACCCGAGCTAAGGACAACATGATCAAATCAGCATCCTGATTATGACAAATAAAATGCCTAAATTAGCACTACAACCAAAATATTTATTAGAGCTGTAAAAAATCAGAAGTACTTGGTACAAGGGGCTAGCTTTGGAATTGACTCTCACCAGACCATACAGACAATGCCGCGTGTTTGGATTAAAGCCAGGAAGGTTACGTTGTAACCGAATTTATGACATAATCTTGTGCTCTCCCTCACCGGGAACATTCGCATCAGAAAGAATAACCTTCAAATAATCACCAATGCAGCCCCATAAATAAATTTAGAGACAAAGTATCCAGAAAGTAAAACGTGCATGGGGAAATTATACTGAAAGGATAACTCCATTTTGCAAGGAATCATCCAATCTCTGAAGCCAAAGAAGGATAATGTCCTTCACACCTTTGTATTTCGCCAGCCAGGATTGTGATTCAACCTAGATTGTATATAATACTGCAGAGCTACAGACAACACAGCCATAAATGAAGTGCCAGGAGTAATAACATTTGAGTCGCATGTTTCAAGTTTTTCCTTGGGGGACAAAGCTTTCCCCTCAGCCTCGAACTCTTTCCTCAATCTCTCTTCTTCAGCTGCCTATCATGCAATAAACAACCAAGAGAAAAATCAAATAAACCCAACAATTAGGATCCACTAAATAATGCAAAGACTTGCTGCCTCAGCAGCATCTTTTGCGGCTCTAAAGCGTCGACTACGTTGCTGGTTCATTTTACCATCTACAAAAATTAAATATACAAGATTGAATTAAAGAAACAACTAAATAAGAAAGAAAATGCAATAAAAATGGAATAAATCCTACCGATTGCCATATAGAGAAGCTTTCTAGGACGAACCAATGAGAAGAGATGGTCAATATAGTCGAAGATTGATTTAAATACATCATCATAAGTGGCAGGTGCCGGCTGTATGCAAAATAAATAAAACAAGTGATATCCGTTAAAAATCAGGGCCAGACCAGAAATAAAAACAATATTCCAACTCATGGACCACAAAAAAGGTTGATGCACCAATCATCGAAGACAATGCTTTCAGATCCATGGTAATCTAGATCATAGTAAGAAAGGAAAGCATATTACAACTTCCTGACACACAAAGAAACACATTCAAGGCAAATGCATTTTCAGCTGCGACCATCAAAATCATACAATAACAATAGTCTGTCAATCCACCACTTGATTACCCGGAAACTTGCTTTCAATAAAATTTGTATTTTGATACACATTGCAAAAATAGACCACACTTACAACCTTCTCCTTCCTAAAAGCTAACTCTAGCATCATAATTCCCTTCTGAAGCAATGTCAATTTACCCGATAGGCGATTACACTTAGCAAACTAAAACACACTCAAAAAGCACGTTTCCAAACAGCTCGGAACTCAATTTTCATAATGAATTCACTAACAACAAACAAAATAAATCAATTAAAATAGTCCACAGGAAAGGAAATTCTAAAGAGGTTTTTTCTTCTTCTAAATACCTTGCCCTCGGGGTGAAAACAGGGATGAATGATCCCGTTCATATCGAGATAAAGATTATCAAATTCGAGGCCGTTAGGGTTAGGTTTAGAGACGTCGATCGGTATTTGATTTCCATTTTCGTATTCTTTCGTCTCTTCCTCTATTATGTCGACGATCGATTGCGGGTACCGATCAGCTAACCACCTGTAAAACGCCGGTACTCCCATGGCTGCGCGGTGAAGCGGTTGCTCCGGTCGACTGAGGTCTCGGGCTTTTCTTTTTCCCCCTATCGGAAATAGAAATAATTAGAGAATTCGAGATATGTGTGTGACTAGGGGTGTAAACGAGCCGAGTCGAGCTCTAGTATTGTTGAGCTCGACTCGACTCGAAAACTTTGAAATGAAGCTCGACTCGATTCGAAAACTCGCGAGCTTAAATTTTCAAGCTCGACTCGAACTCGAAATCCTAAACTGAAGCTCGTGAGCAGCTCAAAAAGGCTCGAAATGAAAAAAAATTATTAAATTTAACTCGATTGAAGCCTCAAACTCAAACTCGAACATGAACCTTAAATACAAGAAATCTTACTGTATTTTTTTTATAAAAAAATCAATACATAAATATTAATATTATTAATAATTTATTTCTAAAAAAATAAAATCTTAATATATTATATTTTCGAGTTGCTCACGAGCTTTTCGAGTCGAATATCGAGTAGCTCGTTTCGGCTCGTTAAGAACTCGAGTCGAGCTCGAGTTCGAGTCGAGTCCATTCGATCCGAGTATTTATCGAACTTTGATAGAGTCAATCTTGAATAACTCGCGATCTGTCTCGTCTCATTTACAGCCCTATGTGTGACGGCGAAGTTGTACGGTCTTTAATAGGCATGTATTTTATGAGCGTGGCTTGTAAATGACTAAATTGCCATCCAATATGGTGGGAACAAGAGGAAGGTGGCATTATTCAATTGGGCCGAAAAGAATAAACATAGTTTTAAAATTTTAAAGGGTAAACTACTCATATAGTCTCTAAACTATAACACATTTTTATTTTAATCTCCCTATAATAAATAAAAACAAAATGATCCCTCTAATTAGTTTGAAGTTACAAGGTCTTTTTTCATTAAAAGAAGAAAGGAAAGGTGATAGTTATTAAATTTGGCATCATAAAAAATTAATACTTAAATTTTATATTTTAAGTTAATTTAATTTTAATTCTAAAAAATAATTTACGTCATTTAAATATCATATAAACTTAATCCTAATTATATAACACTTTCTCTATTTCTTCTCCCCTCTATTTCTTCAAAAAGTCTTATTTTTTTTCATAAATCTGGACGAATATAGAATAATATTTGTTTAAAGACTCTTAATCTTTTAATAATGAACACTTATATTTTTAGTATGTACGATATTATATTTCAAGGGATAATAATAAATTTCTTAACTACTAATGTGGTTCGAAAACTCTTGTCTGTTTCAAATCCTATCCTAAACTGAAAACAAAATTGATATCAAACTATTATTTACTTTATTATCCAAAGACATCGCTGAAGTAAGCTATTTTTCATATTCATTAATGGATTTTTTATTTTTGTTTAATTTAAGAATACAATTGCTAAAACATTGGTAATATTGTCGGGTTTGAAATGAACAGTTGATTGGTAAAACACCGTATGTGTATGTTAACAAAAGTATATATTAGAGGAGTTTAAAATATAATCGGTTAATATAAAGTTTTAAAAAAATAATAATCAGTTGTAATATATCAAATCTATAACTGTTGTAATCGTCCCTTAAGTTCGGAACGAGTCTCGACTTATTTGTGAAAAATTCGATTTTGTGAAGAAATGTTTTGGAGTCACCAAAGACCTTTTGGGTTAGGTAAGCGAAATGAAACAAGCATGTCAATTTTAAAATAAATAAAATGTAAAAAGTGACCAAAACAAAATAAAATAAATTAATATGCCCAAAATAAAAAAAGATAATTAAAATGTGACTTTAGTGACTAACATGTAATTATGTGGTTAAACTAGGGGACTAAAACGTGATTTACCCGGTTTCAAACCTAAGCATATTCTGAACCAAGTAATAAGGAGAAATATCACAAATAAACCCTACTATTCGAAATAAAACCAAAATAGCCCCTAAATTAGTGACCAAGATGAAAAAATATGACGAATCATCGGAGGCCTAAACACGATTAGACCCTAAACTTTAATAAAAACCTAAAACTAAGTAAAAATGTAACCTAAACTAATCACTTAGCCACCTCCCTCACTCTATTATCTCCCTCTTTCCTTCATGCGGTCGAAAAGGCCGAGAGCCAAGCCCCAAGTGAATACCTCAAACATTTGATCAGTAACTAAAGTGTAATAATTTAAAATTTAGCGATTTAATTTTTATTAAGTGAATTGTTTAAGGACTAATTTGGAAAATTTTGTCTAAGACTTATTATCAAAGATTAAACGATAAAAGGACATAATGCTCTTTTAGCAGGAAATGAATTAGAGGTAAGGGAAAGAAAAGTCAGAGAGTATCTTCATCTTCTCCTTCCTTTCTAGTTTCTACCGTGAAAACCATCGCTAAGGTAAGAGATTTTAAAGTTGTTTGTTTCTTGCATTTTTGAGTTGGGTTCTAGTTCTTGGGTGGTATAGAAGCTTAAGGAAGCTTAAAGATGATTAGAAATTAAGAGATTGGTGAATTAATGATAAATTGGTAAAATGAGTTTTTAAGGGATTTGATTAGATTGATTAATATTTGGATTTTTAAAGGTATATTTGATTTGTCCAGGTTCTATTTAAGGTGTTTGAAGTATTAGAAAGGTTTATTTTTAAAGGAATATTTTTGAAGGTGTTTTGTCATTTGGCTTATTCCATAGTTGTCTTTCTCTTCTAGCTTAAAGAAGAAGAAAAAATGGAATCTATTGTAAGCAGTGCTGCCAGTACAGTTGCCGAATACACGTTTGGTGTCATCAAACGTGGGTTTGGGTACTTAATATATGTTGACAGCAATGTCCAGGATCTGAAGGAGCAAGTTGGAAAGCTGGAAGATGCTCGAGAAAGAGTGCAGCATTCTGTCGATCGGGCCATAAGGAATGCAGAGAAGATTGAAGCGGATGTCCTTAAATGGTTGGCCAACGTTGATAAGAAGTTGACTGAAAACGTTGAGGAGAAATTGAAGGAAGATGAGGAGAAAGCAAAGAATAAATGTTTCTTTGCTCTGTGTCCGAATGTCAAGTCTCGCTACCTAGTCAGCAAGAAAGCGGTGGACGAGAAGCATGCTATCAGTGAACTCCTGGAACAAGGGAAATTCGACAAAGTTTCGTATTCTCCTCCTATAGAGGGGATAGTGACCAAAGGTTACAAGGCCTTTGAATCGAGAACAACAACCTTGAAGGGGATTATGGAGGCCTTAAATGAATCAAGTGTTCGAATTGTTGGAATATACGGGATGGCTGGCGTAGGCAAGACCACGCTTGCCAAAGAAGAAGTTGCTGCCAGAGTAAAGGAGGAGCACTTGTTCGACGAATTTGCAATGACCACTGTCACTCATAATCCAGACATAAGAAAAATTCAAGGAGAAATTGCTGACATGTTAGGCCTGCATTATGAGAAGGAGACTGTTAGCGGAAGAGCAATGGAGCTACGCGAGCGGTTGAAGACCGACAAAAGGATCCTCATAGTTTTGGATGACCTATGGCAGAAACTTGACCTCGAAGAGGTTGGTATCTCGTTTGAGGATCAAGCTGCTAAAGGATCTTCTATCGCAGGATGCAAAATACTGCTGACTTCCAGAAGATTTGACGTGCTTTGCATCATGCGTGCTGAGAAGAGTTTCAAAGTTGAAATTTTATCACAAGAAGAATCGATGATTCTTTTTGCAAAAACAGTGGGTGACATATCTGGTGATTATGAACGCAGAGTGAATGAATTGGTGAAAAAATGTGAAGGGTTGCCTGTCGCTATCTTAGCAATTGCAAATGCTTTGAAAGGTAAGGATCTCACGTCTTGGGATGATGCCTTGCTGCAGCTACGACGGTCAAATCCATCAAACATAGAGGGGATGCAAAAAAATGTATATTCTACCATCGAGTTGAGTTACAAATGGCTGAGAAATGAGGAAGCACAATCTTTGTTCCTGATATGCGGCCTGCATCCTCAGAGTTTTGATATCCGTGTCTTTGATTTGCTGCAATATAGCTTTGGTCTAGATCTTTTGGAAGGCATCTACACGATGGAAGAAGCAAGAAAAAGGATAGATGCACTAGTTCATAAGCTCAAAGATTCTAGCTTACTACTTGAGGGAAAAGGTTACAAATGGGTGAAAATGCATGATCTTATACGAGATGTTTCCATTTCAATTGCATCAAAAAACAAGGGAATGTGGGTCATAAGGGATGCAAATCATCTGAAGGAATTGTTGAAGAAGGGGAATCTCAATGGTTGCACAGCTATCTCGTTGCCACACAGCAACATGGCTGACCTTTCTGATGTGGACTGTTCGAATTTGGAGTTACTCATGTTTCTGAATAAAGATCCATCTTTCAGAGTCTCGGAAACTTTTTTCAAAGATATGTATAAGCTGAAGGTGTTAAGCGTAACTGGTATGAGTTTTCCATATTCTCTGCCTTCATCTTTTCGTTCATTAACAAACCTTCAAACTTTGCGTTTATGTGAATGCGAGTTGTCTGAGATAGCCATCGTAGAGAAGCTGAAGAAATTAGATATACTCAGCTTTCAAGGTTCCACCATTACGAAATTGCCAATAGAGATTGCACAATTGACCCAACTAAAGTTATTAGATTTGAGTGAATGTTCTAAACTTGAAGTCATCCCAGAAAATGTCCTAGCAAAATTGTATAGATTAGAAGAGCTACTTGTTGGCAATAGCTTTCGTGAATGGAATGTTGGAGGTAATGCTCGACTTGAAGAGTTGAATAACTTATCTTCTTTGTCAGCATTAGATGTATCCATTCCGGATGCCAGAATTATGCCAAAAGAAGACTTGTTCTTGAGAAAGTTGGAAAGATACAAGATTGTTATAGGAGAATTTCATGAGCGTTCCATTTTCATTACTAAGAGTAAAGCTTAAAAAACGTTGCAACTTGAGTTAGACATTGGCAACGGCTTAGATAAAGGGATGGAAATGTTGATAAAGATTGCTGAAGAGTTACGCATAGAGGGATTGAAAGGTGCCAAGGATATGTCTTTTGAGTTATTAGATACAGACGGTTTTCCATATCTCAAGTATCTTACTATTAGAGAGCAAGGGTCCTCGGAGATTAAATGGATCATTAACTCCATGTCCATGGGATTGGCTCCGCGTAAAGTATTCCCTGCTTTAGAGACAATGGTTCTCTATGGTCTGCGTAATCTGGATAAGATATGCCATGGTAAATTCATCAAAACAGAGTCACTTAGCCACCTAACAACCGTAACAATTCACAGTTGTGATAGACTGAAGAACCTGTTTCCGTTCTCCATAGCCAGAAATCTCAACCAACTGCAACAAATAACTGTAGATGATTGCGAGAACATCACGGAGATTGTTGCAGGGGAACGGATGGAAGACAATGACGAGAATGACATCCTAGAGTTTTGTTGCTTAAAATCTTTGCAACTGATCAATTTGCCAAATTTCAAAAGCTTTTATTCCCAGGAGACAACAGCTTCCTCTTCATCCAGCCATAGTAATACAGAATCTAAACCCATTCCGCTCTTCAACCCAAAGGTATCCATTATACTCATAATTTCTGGGTTTTTTACAATTTACATGAGAATCGTGGCTTTGGTTTTAAATGTTTGCCTTAACATTGGCTTCAGATATATTGGTTGGAAAGAATGAGTAGCACACAACTGAGCTGAACAATTTATGTACTTAATTTGTTGCTGCCAAAAATATTTAAATAACGTAAAAGAATCTTGGATATTTCAATGATAGCAAAAACTAGTACTTAATATTTTAATTAAAGAAAAATTGATATAAATAATTATCGCTTTCAATGATAATACAAAAGTAAATATATTTTTCATTTGCAGGTTTCATGTCCTGCCTTGGAGACGTTGAGAGTGGAGGGGTGCCATAAGTTGAAGAGTGTGTTTACTTCATCTATGGTTAAAAGCTTTGTTCAACTCGAAGATCTTGTAGTTTCTGATTGCGATGAAATGGAAGAGGTGATACAAGGAATATTAGGAGGAGAAGAAAGGATTAGTAGCTGCATAAGTCTGTTTCCTAAGCTCGACTCCTTGGATCTCGTCGACCTTCCCAAACTCAGAAGGTTTTGTAGTGGAACTGATATTTCGATTGAATTTACCTCTCTAAGGTATTTACGTATAAGGGGATGTCGTGGTTTGAGCACTTTTCATTTGAATAGTACAAATGTTGTTGGAAAGAGCAGCGGTAACATCTCACTTGGTCAGCCACAATATCTCTTCCATGAAAAGGTATGTATTAATATCCAATCTTAGTTAAATCTCATCTATCTAATTATGGTGATAAGTATTTATTATAAATATTTTTATTTTTGAAAATTTAAAACGATTAATATGATAATTTAATCTTTCAAATTTAAATTTTATTTTTAGTGAGAATCTAAGAAAAAATGTAAAAAAGAACTATAACTTTTAATAGATGTTGAGTTTTTTAAAGTGATAATTTGAATGAGACAATTTAAAAACTTAAAAGTGAGCGAACAACAATTTACAATTATAAATGATTAATAATTTGTAAATAAAATTATAGCAAATGAATATATAATAAAATAATTTTACATTAGTGGATACAACGACTATTAAACATTAAGTTTTAAAATTGTTGTTTAAATTGTTGTAATTTAAGATGGTAACTCATTATTAAGTTGCAATAGTATATTTAAGATGGTAACATTCAGAAGATTCTTGTTATACAATTTTTCTTTGTTATTAAATAATTAATCTTATAAATAGTCAATACAATTTAGTGTTTTGGATGTGTGGGTTAGAGTGTGCAAATAATAAACATCCAAACATTGAATGTTTTGTAGCAAGTTATTGTAATTGTTAATTCACAATCTTATCAACATGTATGTTTAATAATTCTAAATTAAAACCTTCAGATATATTGTGGCTTTGGTTTTAAATGTTTGCCTTAACATTGGCTTCAGATATATTGGTTGGAAAGAATGAGTAGCACACAACTGAGCTGAACAATTTATGTACTTAATTTGTTGCTGCCAAAAATATTTAAATAACATAAAAGAATCTTGGATATTTCATTGATAGCAAAAACTAGTACTTAATATTTTAATTAAAGAAAATTTGATATAAATAATTATCGTTTTCAGTGATAATACAAAAATAAATATATTTTTCTTTGCAGGTTTCATGTCCTGCCTTGGAGACGATGAGAGTGAAGGAATGCCATAAGTTGAAGTATTTATTTATTTCATCTATGGTTAAAAGCTTTGTTCAACTCAAAACACTTGAAGTTTTTTATTGTGATGAACTGGAAGAGGTGATACAAGGAATATTAGGAGAAGAAGAAAGGATTAGCAGCTGCATAAGTCTGTTTCCTAAGCTCGTCTACTTGCGGCTCGTTCAACTTCCCAAACTCAGAAGGTTTTGCAGTGGAACTGGTATTTCGATTGAATTTACCTCGCTAAGGTATTTATATATATGGAGTTGTCGTGGTTTGAGCACTTTCCATTTGAATAGTACAAATATTGTTGGAAAGAGTAGCGGTAACATCTCACTTGATCAGCCACAACATCTCTTTAATGAAAAGGTATGCATTAAAATCCAATCTTGGATATTTAAATAACGTAAAAGAATCTTGGATATTTCAATGATAGTAAAAACTAGTACTTACTATTTTAATTAAAAAAATTGATATAAATAAGTATCGTTTTCTGTGATAATACAGAAATAAATATATTTTTCATTTGCAGGTTTTATGTCATGCCTTGGAGATTGTGAAAGTGTTGGAATTGCATAAGCTGAAGTATGTATTTATTTCATCTACGGTTAAAAGCTTTGTTCAACTCAAAGAACTTCAAGTTTCTTTTTGTGATGAACTGGAAGAGGTAATACAAGGAGTATTAGGAGAAGAAAGGATTAGCAGCTTCATAAGTCTGTTTCCTAAACTCGGCTCCTTAGGTCTCAATAAACTTCCCAAGCTCAAAAGGTTTTGCAGTGGAACTGATAATTCGATTGAATTTACCTCTCTAAGGTATTTACGTATAAGGGAATGTAGTGGTTTGAGCACTTTCCATTTGAATAGTACAGATGTTGTTGGAAAGAGCAGCGGTAACATCTCACTTGATCAGCCACAACATCTCTTCCATGAAAAGGTATGTATTAATATCCAATCTTAGTTAAATCTCATCTATCTAATTATGGTGATTGGTATTTATTATAAATATTATTATTTTTGAAAATTTAAAACGACTAATATGATAATTTAAGCTTTGAAATTTGAAATTTAATTTTTGGTGAGAATCAATAAAAAAAAGGTAAAAAAGAAGTATGACTTTTAATAGATGTTGAAATTTTTTAATAGTGTGCAAATAATGAACTACTAGTTTTTTACGTATATCTATATATTGTTATTTTTAGTTGTGATAGTTTGTTTGCTGCTATCTACCATACCCTCATAATACATTCTTTTAAATTAAAATTTGTTATTAAAATAAACTTATTAATAAATATAATAGTCGAATTGATAATTATAATTATAAAAACGACTTAAGAACATCCAAAAAGTGAATGCTTTGTAGCAAGTTATTGTAATTATTACTTCACAATCTTATACACATGTATGTTTCATAATTCTAAATTAAAACCTTTAATTTTTTAACACATTATAAATTATTAATATACTAGAAAATAATTAAAAAGATGGAGATGGTAAATTAATAATATTAGAATAAATTATGGATAAATTATAAACATGTAAAAATTATTTTTTATAGAAAAATCAACTTCATAGAATTAGTACATATTTGAAAAAATATATATTTATTATGAAAACTAATTAAATATTATTATTATAGAATGTTATAGTACTCATTTAAATTCAGATAAAAAAATTATAATAAAAATTTCTATTGCTATCAAGGTTTAAAATTTTCTTAGATTTATTTATATTTTAAATTTAAACTTTGAAATTATATATTGGTTGGAAAGAATAAGTAGCACACAACTGAGCTGAACAATTTATGTACTTAATTTGTTGTTGCCAAAAATATTTAAATAACGTAAAAGAATCTTGGATATTTCAATGACAGCAAAAACTAGTACTTAATATTATAATTAAAGAAAAATTGATAGAAATAATTATCGATTTCAGTGATAATACATAAATAAATATATTTTTCATTTGCAGGTTTCATGTCCTGCCTTGGAGACATTGAGAGTGATGGGATGCCATAAGTTGAAGTGTGTGTTTAGTTCATCTATGGTTAAAAGCTTTGTTCAACTCAAAGAACTTGTAGTTTCTGATTGTGTTGAAATGGAAGAGGCAATACAAGGAGTATTAGGAGAAGAAAAGGATTAGCAGCTGCATAAGTCTGTTTCCTAAACTTGATTCCTTGAACCTCGACAAACTTCCCAAACTCAGAAGGTTTTGCAGTGGAACTGATATTTCGATTGGATTTACCTCTCTAAAAAAATTAGATATACGACAATGTCGTGGCTTGGACATTTTCCATTGGAATAGTACAAATATTGATGGAAAGAGCAGCGGTAACATCTCACTTGATCAGCCACAACATCTCTTCCATGAAAAGGTATGTATTAATATCCAATCTTAGTTAAATCTCATCTAACTAATTATGGTGATCAATATTTATTATAAATATTATTATTTTTGAAAATTTAAAACGATTAATATGATAATTTAATCTTTGAAAATTTAAATTTTATTTTTGGTGAGAATCTAAGAAAAAAAGGTAACATTAGTGGATACAACGACAATTAAACATTAAATTTTAAAATAGTTTGCCAATATTTTTAAAATTGTTGTAATTTAAGATGGTAACTCATAATTAAGTTGCAATAGTATATTATTTAAGATGGTAACATTCAGAAGATTGTTGTTATACAAATTTTCTTTCTTATTAAATAATTAATCTTATAAATAGTCAATGCAATTTAGGGTCTGTTTGTTTCCCGTAATTGGAATTACGGAATTGGTTTTCCCCGAATTCCCGTGTTTGTTTCACGTAATTCGTTTTCCGGAAAATATTTTCCCGTATTTGTTTCACGTAATTCGTTTTCCGGAAAACGTTTTCCCGTGTTTATTTCACGTAATTCGTTTTCCGGAATGTAATTCATTTTCCTAGTAACAGAATTTCCTTTGTGTTTTCTGTAAAATGACTTACGGATTCATTTTCCGTAAGTCATTTTTCGAACTTTTCACTTCAAAGCAAAAATACTCAAAATAATTTTATTTTATGAATTTAATATTAATAAAATATTTAATATCATTTTCATCAAAATATTAATTATTAAAATATTTAAAATATATTTATTAATATTTATAGTAATATAATATTATATTTTTAATATTATATAAAATAATCAATTATATTATAATAATATAAGATATTATATTTTTATTTTAATAATATATAATAAATTTTTTTATATATTTAATAATGAATAATATTATTTATATATTTCAATAATATTTTAGTAAAGATATTAAAATATACTAATTAATATTTTTAAAATATAATATAGTACTATTACTTTAATAAATAATTAATATAATTTATAAAATTTTATTTCACTAAAATATACCGAAAAAATGTTTAAATAACATCTTCCAAACATCATAAAACGTTTTCCAGATGTTTTCCAGAAATGTAATTCATTTTCCAGAAATGTAATTCATTTTACAGAAATGTAATTCATTTTCCAGAATTCAAATTCTAGTAATTCATTTTCCAGTAATTCAAATTCCAGTAATTCAAATTCTAGTAATTCATTTTCTGGAAAACCAATTACAGCTAAACAAACAGACTCTTAGTGTTTTAGATGAGTGGGCTAGAGTGTCCAAATAATAAACATCCCAACATTGAATGTTTTGTAGCAGGTTATTGTAATTGTTAATTCACAATCTTATCAACATGTATGTTTAATAATTCTAAATTAAAACCTTTAATTTATTAAAACATTATAATTTATTAATATACTAGAAAATAATTAAAAAGATGGAGATGATAAATTAATAATATTAGAATAAATTATGGATAAATTGTAGTTTAACCATTTATAACAAACTACTGAATTATGATAATTTACTCGATAATCATAAATTTTATAATTATATTGTAAAAATTATTTTTTATAGGAAAATCAACTTCATAGAATTAGTACCTATTTGAATATATATATATATATATATATTTATTATGAAAACTAATTATAGATTATCATTATAAAATATTATAGCACTCATATTTAAATATTCATATTTAAATTCATATAAAAAATAAATCTTTATAATAAAAATTTATATTATAAATAAATCTTATAAAATTTTTCTTAGATTTATTTATATTTTAAATTTAAACTTTGAAATTTTGGTCAACAATATCTAGAGCAAGTGAATGAAAGCTCTCAGTTGACACATTTCCTCTCCCCTAGGTCGTGGGTTCAATATAAAAAAAAATTCCCCCTTCCCTCCTCATAGGTAGAATTCGTTCAAAAAAAACAAAACAAAAAATTGTATTAATAAAAAAAACTAGTGTATATATGATTAAACTCTAAGATGGAATATTACTAAGGTTTTTGCAACAACAAAAAAATATTTAAATAACCTAAAAGAACCTTGGGTGTTTACATGAAAACAAAAATTAGTACTTGAATATTTAATCAAATAATAATATTAATTAAAAATTTTCTATAAATAATTATTGGTTTCGGTGATAATACAACATAAAAATAAGAATAGAAATATTTCAGAAATAAGATTTGAATCAGAATCTCAATTCCAAGAAGGCAAACAGTGGTGTTATGAAATCATTTTCTCCACGACTCATTCTTGACTCTTGGTTTAATTTATTTTACCCTATCTAATCTAATCTTAATTTAATTTTTATTGGCAGATTTCATGTCCTGTCTTGGAGAAGTTGCTGGTATGGTATTGTGATAAGTTGAAGTATGTATTTACTTCATCTACAGTTAAAACCTTTGTCCAAATCAAAGAACTTTTTATTTTACAATGTGATGAAATGGAAGAGGTAATACAAGGTGGGGATAATGATGATGATGAAATCAGTTTCCCCCAACTCAACATTTTGAGATTTGAAAATCTACAAAAGCTGGAGAGTTTCTGCTCATCAGGGAATTATAACTTTGGGTTTCCATCCTTACAAACTGTACTTGTGTATGAATGCCCAAAGATGAAGACGTTCTCTCGAGGACACTCAAACACCCCAATGTTACATAAAGTTACACTAAATAAGTGGCCAGATGAATGGCGTTGGGAAGGCAGCCTTAATCACACCATACAACAGCTCTTTCGAGAAAAGGTAAATTTATATTTTTCCAAATATCCTTATCAACGATTGGTTCTTCACTTCACTCTAAACTCTGTTGTGCAAGCAAAACCAAAGAATTACAATGAGAAGAACGACTTCTAAAGGTTCTATTTAATGGATATAAAAGAATAATGATGATAGAACTATATTTGTTTATATTGGAAGATGCTATTATATATTATTTGATAAATTATAATTACTTCTTCACACTTATTAATCATTACAGAATGACATGACAGAAGAATACAACACTCTGAAGAATGATAGAATGACATAATAGAAGAATCTAAGATCACTGAAGAACAAAGAAATCATTCAACTTCTAATGCCCAAGTAAGCTTATACTCATCCTAATTTCTTATTGCTTTTCTCTTCTCTTTCATGACTAATATTAATCTTTTTAGAGAAAGACTATATTAGTCTAAGAATCTGTAAGATTGAATTTAGTGGGTTAATGGATATAAAATAATTGTGAAGATATACATTTCTTACTTCTTAGTCTTGACAGTTAATTTGCTGTAGGACATTAATGAAATTGGTAGAGATGATTAGCTTAAGCCTAAAGTTTGACAGTCAATGCCAATGCTGCCTTCCTACTCTTCTCATATGCTGTGATGCGTTGCTTGGATCCCCCTTTTTGTCTTGATTAAAAATGCTGATCGGCTTGATGGCTTTCGAGTAATGAATCTGTGTTTGAAGGTGAAATGATGGAGTGTTAAAAGGTGATCCCTTCACTAGATTAAAGCTTTTGACGATGGGATTGTTTTATATTAGCCATGTGTGGTAAAACCAGATTTTCTTTTCTTGTCAGATTTCAGGTTAAACAATCTATTTCAGGTCTGCTTTGTTTTCGTGTGCTGATCCTGGTGTAATGGATACAAATATTGCTAAGTTCAAGCAATGAAGATGGCCATGGAGGGTTTCTTACAACCGGAATGAAACAATCAAGTTTGCTTGATTATTGTATTCACTTTGGTTATTACAATCAGCTAGTGTTTGAAATATTGTTGGTGTAAATATCATTTGAAATACATACTAGACCAATAATTTTAAGGGTAAACTACTACTTAAATTATCAGTTTTAGTACACAAACTTTCGTTTTCTTTTAAAATTATGCATAACATTTAGTTTTTGTTTCATTTTAATATCCATCCGTTAAAAATTAACGAACAGGATGACATGGCATAGTTTCGATGGACGAATGACTAATCAGAACGGTGGAGATCGAAGAATTAAGAAATAGAAGAGTCCGTCGATTTGGAGATATTGAGGCGTTTCCCTGGAGTCGAAAAGGTGTGGGTTGGAAAGTTTGGGTTTCATTGATTGACGGATGGATGACCGATGACTATAGACACGGCACGAGCTCATCCGATTAGTTTCTAACGGCGGGGTACTAAAATGAAACAAAAACTAAACATTATGTATAATTTAAAAAAATAAAAATTTAAGTGCTAAAATAGATCAAAATTAATTGTTTATGTACTAAACGTATAATTTATTGTCCTTGAGGAAAATAATGATTGGCTTAGAGTATATAGCATTTGCTTTTTCTCTCATTGTTGCAGCGGTTATGAGATCCGACTTCCATTATATACACACAGACATATATATTGAGTGTAAAATCTGTTGATATATTGTTTGTAACGCAGGGTGGAAACGACAGACATGAAGGGGTTGAAGAAGATAGAGGAACATTGAGCCTGAAAGGAGATGAAGGAAAATTAAGTTTGAGTCTTTCAGTTCATCTGATTTGTTTTCCATAGGATCTTTTACTCTTGGAATTGATCCTGCCTTTAAAAATCTTGAGTTTGAAACATACAAAGTTATCTTCAAGGGAAAATATTCATTTTGGTACTTGAACTTAATTTTAAAGTTCAATTTAGTATCTAAATTTAACAAAAATAAATTTTAAGTACCAAATTGAACATCAAAATGTACATTGTAAAAGATTGGTGGCAGTGGATAGTAAAAGAGCAAACAAAGTTATTTACACATGTAAGCCATCTGATTTTGGTTAAAAATTTCAAATCGACTCTATTATCGTAGGCACAAGTTCAAACTCGAACAATAATCTAAATAGAAATATATCAATTGTCTGGATCGAATAATCAATAAGCTTCATTAATAATTATTGGCTTAATACCCAAATAAGTGCCCAAAGTATACCTTCGTTTTTAATAGGTATCTACATTATTTTTTTGGATCATTTAGGTGTCCAACATTACAAAGTTGTCACTTTAGGCGCCCGGGACGTAACTGCCATTAATTTTTTCGTTAAGTGACAAGCGTCACAATATAGTAATTTTGATTTTTTTTGAAAAATATTATTATATTTATAAAAAACTCTAATTTCTTCTAAATTACAAAAAACCCCTCAAAATCCCTAAAATTCCCAAATCCTAACACTAACCCGTCGTTGGTGCCCTTTACAGCCACGACCACTGCCTCCGATGTAATCCCTGCCACCATCCTAGTTATACTCCGCCATAATTGTCACCGATTAGTCATCAAAATTGCGTAGGATCGCAATCTTCATTCTAGGTTTGTTGGATATAAAACCTCGATCGATCACAATTTCATAGAGGTTTTGGTCGCCGAGGGAGGTGAAGTCCGATGGAGCTTCGTTGATGGCAAAGGACAACGGTCAACACGAGTTTAAGGGTTGAAATAAAGATTTTTAAGGTTTTAGGGTTATTTCAAAATTTATGTGTTTGCTTTTTAAAAATATTTTTTTTTTTTTTTATTTTTATATAAATTTTTTAAAATTATCAGATTGAAAAGTGTCACTTAACAAAGAAAATTAACACCGTTGACGGCTCAGACATCTAAAGTGATAACGTTTATTACATTAAAAGCCTGATTTGTCCAAAATATACTGGGAAAATCGGTATACTTTGAGCACTTACTTCGGCATTGAGCAATAATTTTCAGACAGATTTCGAAAACATACTTATTGCACACCAACAAATACTCCACTGAAGAAAGCAGGAAAGCCATGGATACAAGTTATATTCAGTCAAGTCCTGAGAAATATCAATACCATCAACTTTGCTTTGCATAGAGGTCAATGCTACCTACTTGCAGCCGTGGGTTTGTTTCCGAGTCTCTGACCGCCAAGAACCGCAGTCTGCCGTCCATGATATCGTTAATAAAAGGATTGATTCAAGTAAAAACAAACTATGAAGATAAAAGAAAAATACTTCACCTGAAGATATTTGATAAGAAACCGGTCAATTTAACATTATATGTTTTCCGTTGAAAACGTTTATCAAACATCTGGGATCTTCGTTCATCCAGAACACGCCAGTTCGATCCTCCATCGTTACTTCCTTCCACCACCCTGTTAATGATTGAAATGTTAATAGGATCAAATATCCACATGACCTACATAAATATTTTTACCTGTTAAGGTAAAACCACAATTCAGGGGGGGGGGGGAAACAGAGCTTGAAACTAAAAATGATATTTCACTAAACCTAATCCCATTTTCCATAGAAAGTTGAAAGAGAAAACATAGATAGATGAAAGTAGAGGTCATTTTCATCACTTTAGGAAAGATTCATTTATCGCACCCGGTTACAATGACAGTAATGATATTTAGTAATAAAAATCCTTAAAAAAATTCGGTCTTAAATCATGACCTGACATAAGCGTGACGTAGGATCATTATAAATGGAATGTGGTACTTTAAAATAAAGAGAATGCTTAGAGACCTAAGCAGATCATACCAATCCATTGGATCTCGTTCGGGAGCATCATTGGCAGACATTAAATCATAAGACACAAGTTCCTGCATGTTGCCTGATAATCTGTACATAACCCAACCTACAAGATGAAATTCAAATACTAGGAGATATGATATTTAATGAAAACATATCTGCGGATTAGCCTGCCTGAGAACATGCTAGTATTGCATAGCTTTAAGCATTAAAACCTCAGGTCATATATACAATTAGTAATTGGAAGAAACTATTCTCGTTGTTCAGAGTACCTTTAGCACCATTAGGTTCCTCCCATTTAGACATGCGAGTTCCATCAAATGCTGCCGTGGCCTGAAAATTTTCAGTGGAAATTTTAGGATAATTTCTATAGCACGTGTGGACACTTCATATTCAAATGTTAGATATAGCCATGATTACTTACAATCCCAAAAGGAAGCTCCTCGCCACTCGCAAGGACTGCTCCAGAACATATTCTATTCAATCTTAGAAGAGGAAAGGTTAGTGAACCTTTACTAAAGTTGTCACATTTGCTAAGATCGCTGATCAGTTCATCCAAAGCATGCAAGGCAACAAGTAATGCTAAAGCAGTTGGAACAGGGTCACCAGCTAAGCATACAGTGACAATGCCATTACTATCCATTTCACTCTTCAGTGAAATAGCATCAAGAAATTTCTTAAAAGAGGGCAACAACCGATGCAACAAAGATGTGCCAACAATTGAGTTTGACTTTAAAGAAGCTCTCCTTTTTCTATACGATAATTTCTTGAGATCTACAACGGTTGCTCTAAGAATCTTGAGAACATCAACACCTTTTGATGCAATTACAGAATCTTCAACGAACTTATTAAGTATAGAAGAAAAAGCATTATAGATTTTTGTGACGTGCTCGTCTCTGCATATGCGAACTTCGCAAGAAGATGAACTCAGAGAATCAGTCCCAAATTCTGATCTTGCAATGCGCCATTGCTTATCCCCACTTTGCCTCCCAGGTAAGGAGATTGGAGCATCATCAGTAGAAAGTAAATCTCTGTCTAGAGCTTCCCTTTCAATTTTGTCACGTTCTTCTAATACTGAAAGAACTTGAGATGTGAAGTTCCTTCGGCATTCTTTGGTCATTGAAGAGAGCAGACATCAGAGAGGACTCTGTGCTAATGGTTCGTCGAGACAAAACCTGAAAAAATGGTAATGGCCAAAATGGTGAGTTTGAGGAGAGAATCATGTTTCTTCATAACAATGCATAGATAAGCATACTAAAAGAATAAGAAGAAACAAGCAATGGAGGCAATAAAGTGCTATTTTTTTATCATAATTACCTCATTCCAATTCCGTGTGTAACGTTTAGTGACATCATAAACTCCATCTTTTGCAATAGCAATTACATAATTTAATTTCTTTTTCCACCTGTAGAAAGGAAGCATTTACGGAAACAATCTAGTAACAAAAAACAATTCTGAAAATTGGAAAATAGCACAACTTAGAGTACCCTTTTTCATATAATAGAGGTCTGTCATATATTGCTTCGCAAGGATCAAGATGCATCCACCTGTACAAAAATGAATGAATAACTAGTTCGTGAAATGACCACATAGTTTAGCCTATTTGTTACAGAATAGGGATCCTTCCCAATTGAAGATTAAAAGGCATCAATTTGGGTTTTTACCTTCCCAGGCATCTGAATAGCACTCTGTCCAAACATGGTCTGTAAAATCCAGGACCTGGAAATGAACAGTTGGTGCAAATAAAACATCATGTCAAGCATGCAAATTATCAGAAGTCCCATGGAATCTCATCTTTAAACAGCTTGAACTAATTAAAATGTATGCATCTACGTATGCATTAGCTGTTCATAAAGTATAAAATTCTAGATACATTCCATGCCACCATAAATATTGATTTCATATATTGCAGAATCAATAGACAGTAGCTTCAATTTACACAATTATCAGCGAAGGAACCAGTGAACCACTCATTTGTAAATCTAAATTTGGGTTTCAATTACAATGTCAAAGACATCAACATATTATACATAAACAAACATGCCATTTCAAAATTCTTTAAATCTATCTTGAACATGTTCTTTGTTTGGCAGACACTACAGAATCAAAAAATCCTGGTCAAACATTCTCCTAATTTCAAATAAAAGGTTTATCTTCACTGAATTTTCAAATCCTTGTGTTTAGTAGACTAGATGCTACAGATATCCTGTCATCAAAAGCTTCAGATTGAAAGAATAATAATTCCAGGTCTATATATACCAAATATATAATAACAATTCCAGGTCTATATATACCAAATATATACATTTCAAGTGCCGCAGTTGGAACAAATTTCTTTCTTATTATAAATCA